TTACCTACCTTTTCATCATGACATGCCGTTGTGTTTAACATGGTACTGTCATTTGCTAGCTTGCCTGCTTAGGAGTCCGTTCCAGGCTACAAGCTCATTTCTCTCGTCTCTTTCAGTTCCTCTTTTCATTCTGTGACCTACTTCACGCCTTGCGATCAACTGAAAGGCCCTAACATGAAAATGAAGGGGTTGAAATCGAACTGCCAATATTATACCCTTGGCCCACCTTGGAAAGTTCTAACAAACCTCCAATCGCCCTCAGCTGTAATAATCAATCATACAGGATTGTAGAACTAGTATAATGTAGCACAAAGCAAAAAAAAAAAAAAAAAGCAGAATGAAACTCCCTCTATCATAGAGGAAATCTTAAGCTTGACAAATGTTGCAAGTTGTTGGTCACAAGGCTCTGGTTCTGCAACCCTGACTGCCTAAACTGAACGTGTACAAGGCCAATGATCTCTGTGTGGAAGGACAAAGTGACCCGGGATGTGGGGTATAATCTAAATAGATCTACCGTCTTCAAAATGTAGATCATGTTTAGTCCTGATTCTGTTGTAAAATTACCTTACAGTGAAACACCCTACGAGGACGCAAAAAAGCATCGTGGTGTGCAGCAGTTGAGTTTTGCTAAGTTGCGCCAAGTTACGAAATCTCAAGACTTCAGCCACGGATATTTAGATGCTTCTGAATAGATCAGCTTCTGAAAAGGAACGCTAGGATCTTTATGGTTCTGCAGATGGATATATCCGGAAAGGTTCTGTTGTTATTATACCGCCCTTTGTGTGGTCAAAAGAATCTACAAACTAGATTTTCCTACTTTGCATTTCTTTGTATTCATGTAAACATTTACCGTCCAACTTTCACTCTTTTAAATTGGCTTACGTAAAACACAAAACCCACTCTAAATGAAGAGGGACCCCTTCCAATCATGAATCCAAACAAATAACATACATCACCTCAAAACTTCAGATTTACCAATTCTGAAATGTTTCTTAAGCTGATTCTAACTCAAACTGATTGAGGTTCCCAGCATGCATCACTTTGTCCACATTCTTACCCTTCACCCCCTTCTGGGTTAACAGGAGCAACAGGAGCTGGAGAGGGAGGCACAGGAGCAGGACCTGGAAAAAGAAAAGAGTTCAGAAAAACTTTTGGGTCGGTTTTAAGTCTTGAGACTTTAAAAAGGTGAGGCAGAGAAAACGTGTGTTCTCCATGGTGGTGAAAAGGTAAATGTAATGTAAATACCACCAGTTAGTAAAATATGTCAACTTCATACAGCCACTTTAACTCATCATCAGTGGTGCATCCATACGACGGAGCCTGTGTGTACGATTTTGTCCACGTGTGAAATGGAAAATTTAAAACAAATTCAAACTTCTGTCCATATATGCAACACTGAGCATGCTAAAAGAAATAAAACTTTACCAAATTTCTTTAAGTTAAATTCAACACACTTTACATACATATTTTAATGGATTTCCTTATGATCAGTGCAAAACTTTACTGGGTCCAGGCAAAACAGCAACTACTGTAGGTTTGGTGTCAGAAAATCATGACTGAAAACACGTTCATCAGTCCAACATGCTATGTGTGATCTTTAATGCTTTGCCGAGTGGCTCTGCGAGACAACTTAAGTGAGAAGACGAAGAAAATAAATAGATTGTGAAGGCAAAAACTGTCTGTGCAAGTTAGTAAAACAAACTACAAATACATCTACACATGAATTTAACAACTTCTCACCAGTTGTCTGTTCTTCCTTCTTGGGTTCATCCTCCTTTTTCTGCTCATTTATTTGCTCCTCTTGTTTCTCTTCATTTTTCTCCTCCTCCTTTTCACTCGTCTTCTTTGGCTCCTCGGCTTCTTCATCTTTCTTTTCTGTTAACTTCTCCTCCTGCAACTTATCAAAACAAGGGAAATCTGTTAGACGTTTCTCTCAGATCAGTTTTTCCCTCCCCGTACCTTTCTACTTAAGTTTCAATTATTTTTGCTGTGGATTATTTTTGGAAGTATCCAAAGCTTTAATGATCACCGATCTCTAAATTGGGATCAAATTGTAATTTATACCAAATTACAGGTACAGGGGAAGCAGCGTCATGCTGTGGGAGTGTTTTGCTGATGGCAGCAGGAAGAAAAAGCATCCTGTGAGAATTTGAAGCAATATCTCAAGACATCAGCCAGGAAATTAAAGCTTGAACACAAAACAGGTGACGATGGCGCCATGTCAGCTAAAAATTAGCTAAATGGTAAAAGTTACAGCAATTCTGTCAGGGGGTTTGGCCCAAAACAAGTATATGGAAGGATAGACAAAACATCTGACCCAAAAGGTCTTAGAGTTTAGAGCAATTCTACCAAACGCTAAGGAAATGTTTTCAAATGTCAGAATTTGAAAGAAAAAAAATCCTCTTTTATTATTCTAGCACGACAAGACAAATAATTTTAGTAATTTTCCAGTAAAGTAAACCGAGAAGGTGGAGGCTACAAAATCCAAATCGCTCAAAGTTGAATAGTGAGAAAAAAATGAAGTTGTACAGAATAAATAAATCTGATTCAATGAGCAGAAAACTCAATGCTGTGGCCAGAAATCGAGTATAATAATTATTATTACATAGGCGAGAATGTGAGTAAAAACTAGAACAGGAGCTTTTCTCCACATCAGTGCCAAGCTGCTTACACTGATCATCATCTGGCGTAGAGAAATGCCATCCAGGCATCCAGTTCACATTTCAGTGAGTTTTATCTTTTAGCTGCAGCTAAAAGATAGATAAGTGAAGAATTTAAGTGAATTTTGAAAAAGAAAATAAACACAGACAAGGCCTTACCTTGGCTGGTGGGGCTGGTGGGGCTGGTGGGGCGGTCACAGGGGCAGGCGGAGGCTCCGGAGCGCCCAGAAATCTCCTCAACCTGCTGAACATGCTGGAGGGATTTTCCGTGGGCTCGTCTGCCCACAGGAACCCGGTGGACTGCCGTGTCGGACCTAAACAACACGCTGAGGCTTTTAAATTTCTTTGAATCGGTAATTCCCTCTGGGCACTCCCTTTTGTCTGTCTGGGCCAGAACAAGATGAACTATCACATCCGCCAATCCCTGCCAGGTGGGACAAACGTTTCTCATGCCGTACTCTGAATAGCCTGATTTAAAACAGTTGAAGTATATCGCAATTATTACATATTACATATAATCTGAGATGGAGATGAAGCTATACTTTATAAAGCAGAATTTTTAATTTTTTTATTCATTTTTAAGGTTGGGATGTGGAAGAAAACACATAGGGTGAGAAAATATGGGGTGAATTTCACTCTTTTCAGTGGCTTATGAGGATGCAGAGTTCATGAAGAGACCAAACAATTAATCAGCCTTTACAATGTCTGTCGGTCTGCCTAACAGGATTAGATCGGATCTGCACCAGAGCTTCTGCTGCGCAAACTGGAGGCTGTGGGACTAAATCAACAGACAGGAGAAAACAAAACGGAGCCGCCGTTACATCTGTCAGTCATTTATTAAGGAAAATATGGAGGATTAAATCAGTCACTTGAAATAATAATAATAATGAAATAAGTGTGTAAAAAAAAAACAAAAAAAACAAAACAACAGAACTGGACAATAAAGCCATAAAAAGACAAATACATTCAGTGTAAAACAAAACGACAAACATCCTGCATTGCCCACCATTAGAAGTAGTTCATGAAACCAGTGCCTTTTTTTTTACAAATTGAGAAAAAGCCAAGTTTCTGTTTCTTATTAGCTTGCATTGCAACATTGAAAACAATGCAAGCACCAATGACTTTCTGGCAGCAAAACTATTAGAAGGTGGCAGCAGGTTTCAAGATTCATCAGATAACAACTACAATATACAGACAGACGAGCTGTGTGCAGATATTACACATAGCTTATTCAAAACAGCGTTGCGTTTTGAATGTTAATTGATTTTATTTGTGGTAGCAAAAAGCAAAGGCCAGTGGGAGCAGAATGGCCATTTAATCAGGATCCACAGCTCTGATGCCAGTGATTGTATTACCAAATGTACACATGCATGCACAGCACGTGATTTACGTCACGTTAAAACAAAACACTTGATGTAAAACAATGAAAAGAACCTGAAACAAAGCTGTACCTTTACTCCCAAAATGGAGTTATCAACAAAAATACACAGTTTAGCTGAGTCCTCACTTTTCCTGTGGAGGAAAACCAAAAAAACAAAAAAACAAAGTAGTGTTTAAAAGTGTTGTAATGATTTACATCATTGTGACTTAAGTAGCGTCGACTTACCTTTATTTGGTTAAACATCTTTTTATTAAAGTTTCCTCCGAAAGCTCGCAGCAGTTTGGGCGTTGGCGGTTTGGGGCCGAACAGCGCCAGCCCTTTCTTCTTCTCCTCCTCTACTTTTGCTGCCGCCGGGCCCTTTGCCTTCATTAGTTTTCTACACGCAGATACGCAAAAGTAAGAACAGATTACTTCAGCCTCTGCAGTTTTCGTCCACCCATCACAGGAGAAAATGTCAGATCAGTTATTGGTCCAAAGCGTAAATTGTTGTCTCTCATCTGTACTTTTTTTCACAGCATTGTTTGTTTCTGTATGTATAATTTTGATCCTGCAAATGAAAAATAAATGTATATGACTCCATAATTTAAATGAAATACTGCAGTAGGAGATTGTGCAGTATAAAGCCCTTCTTTCACACTGGAATAAGAACGACTCAGACAGTCAAACACCTGAAGTTAATGTGATATTCAAGGTGAAACTTTTAATCAGGTCCTGTGCTCACCTCCCTTTTCTGGCCAACACCTTCTGAGACTCTGGGTAGTGGATGAGAATGTCAAACAGGTCCTTCTTCTCCAGAACAAAAAGGTTCGCGAAGCCGTAAGCTTTGACGTTGGCTGTTCGCCTGTTCCCTCCGTCCTTAGAAGACTGCAACAAGCTACAGAAAACAGTTGATTTTTCATTATATGCAGAGCTTGGAAGCTGCATGCACAACCTGTAACTCGTTTTATCTGTGTGAACTGACCTGATTTCTCCGAACACGCAGCCGGCCTTCAGCGTTACAAACACGATGCTATTGTCAGGCCCTCCCACCACCTGCACCGCTCCGCTTTTGATGATGTACATCTCCTTCCCGATGTCGCCCTGCAGAGGGACACAAAAGACACAGCGACCTCCACCGTATTATTGTTAAGGAATACTCAATACTCCACTTATTGGCAAAAACCCAGTCCTGTCAAATAACGCATTTGACATATTCTATGATTTATTTTCTGATCCGAGAATCTAGGGAGTTTTCTTCTAACTTCAGAGATCTGTGACCTGTGACCTCTGTTTACCTGGGTTTCACCTGGAGGGTTTCAAACAGACCTGACCTGCTTTATGTGTCCAGCAAAAACAGAAGAAAAAAAAAACATTCAAAGAATGGAATGAATGTAAATTTTAAAGGGATCTACTGATATGAAAATTTAAGCCGATATTAATAAATATCAGTTGTTAATATGAACACGATTTTAATTATTGGACCAAAACCGATGTGTAAAAAGTGACTAATATTGTCCGATACCAATATTGGTGCTGATACATCGTGCATTCCTAAATGTCTGTATTGTTCTGACATTAATAATACAATTTCCTTTAAACACTGACGATACAATACGCTCTAGCTTCAGATAAAGTCGATTTCTTTCTGTCCTATAGAGCATTGACTCTTCAGTGACTCTGGTTCTCATAAGTGAGATATTTGGTATCAGACTGGCGATCTATTCACTGTTCAAACCACTTTGTAACAAATACCAGTTTCTCTTAGTCACTGTTCAAAATGGTAAAATCAAAGGAAGTACACCATTTGGGAAAGGCAAATGTTTGTCTATGTTTATAAGGAAGGACATTCAGTATTCACATGGGTGCCCATAAGTATGAAATATGTTTGTTTTTTCTCCACATCTTTTTTAGGGTGCCAACAGATGTTGCGGATGCCTTATCCAAATAATTTAATTGTACGTTAGATATCCAGTGGGAAAAGGACACAAACTCACTTTTTTCACCACAAAGTCTCCCGGTAGGTAGATGATGGACTTCAGTCTCAGCAGCATGTCCACCAACATCTGCTGGTCGCAGCCCTGTGGGACCATGAGGGGATTTTTTAGCACCTCAGTCTCCTGACCGTGCTGGTGGGATGACTTCACATGCCCGTACCTTGAAAAGATCGATCTTCTGAAACGTCGCCAGGTTGATGTCCACTGCAATGGCCGTTCTCATTACGAGAGGCATCTTATCCAGCAGTTCAGACTCATCTGCGCATCAGCATAAAGCGGGAGAGGTCAGGAGAAACAGGCCCACTCCCAAACCCCAAATTATTATTCAGTCAGTCTTCACTGACCCAGCATGCCCTGAGCGTCCCAAGTGTAGGTGTACCAGGTGCGCACCCTGTTCTGCACCAGAGAGGGGATGTTGTTGGTCACCATGTAAGCCACTGTGTTGTCCATGGAGGTTCGAAAGTAGGTCTGTCCTGCTGTGGCCGCGCCAATCACATCTCTCATCTACAGCAACGTGATAAAAACAGTTAAATAAACAGAGGACAACTGATTGGTGCGTAAATGAGAAGCTGCAGTGCTGGGCAGAAGTAAATGTACTCTTTGAACCTTTCCATATTTGGTCATGTTACAGCCACAGACTTTTTTTTTTTACTTTATAAGACTGACCTATACTGATCTATAAAGAGCGATCCAGGCAATAAAGCTAACTCCAACTGAGAATCTGTGTCAAGACTTGAAATTCTTGCTCAGGGATGTTCTCCATCCAGTCCGACTAAGTTTGAGACATTTTGGAAAGAAAAATGAAAGAGGCTCCCCCCAAAAAAAATCCTTCCATCATGACTGGTGGTTCTGTTCCACCACAGGGGAGGCTGCATACAAATCTGCAAGATGTTTTTCAAATTTTCTTGCCACTAATTTTCTTGACTTGAACAGCCAATTGACAGGAAATTTTGGGGGAAGACACGTAGTAAACAGCCTGAGACTGGGAATCGAATCCAGGTCAACCACATGGAGGACTACAGCCTCGGCACACGGTGCTCTACAACATGGCCACCAGGTGCCCCAGACGTTCTCCTGTAGAAATTTATATAATGTATCTGCCGCTATACAATCATCCACAGATTTGTGTTGGTGTACCACATAAAATACCAGTAAAAATCATCAAAGCTTGTAGCTGTAAAGTGGAAAAGAGTTCAATAGATGCATACTTCTGCTGGATGCTGGACACACAGTCAAGACTCTAAAGGGAATCAGAAAAAAAAAATCCAAAAGTGTGAAGGATTACAGGGATGTTGGGTGTCTAGTGAGATTGATCTGCTACCGGGACACATTCCATTCAGCTATCATGTTAATAGGATGTGTTGAAAGAGGTGTCAATGTCTTAAGTTAGGAGATGCTAATTTTAGGACGCAGACTGATGAGAGGTGCTTGGTCTACGACCTACGCTACAGACAATTTGGTCTCTGCGTTACCTGTCCAATCAAACTGGAGAACACAAAGACGCCTACGAAAAAGTTAGTCATCTGAAAGGTAATCTCAAAGACCGTGTGAGGCTCGTTAAGTCCCCCGATGTTGATCAAACTGCGGACGGCAAAGTAGTAGCAGCGCAGGTACCTGTGGAGGAGGTGAGGGGACGTTAGAGGGACGTCCACAAACAGCACTGAGAGTTTCCCGAGAGACAGCTGTACCCGACTCAACTGGATATCATGAAAGAATGTCAGGGATAAAGATGTATTCTTCTTTTGGAAAATATTAAATTCATTTTCCCATATGATTCCCATGAGGTCTTGCTGCACTTTCTTTTGGTGCATTTGCTTTTACAATCCAACATAGACACAAAGCGAAGCAAAAATATAACACGAAGCACGCCACGAGAAAGAAGCTACCTGGCCAAGAATGACGGACATATAGAACGTCCCAAAAAGGTAGTTCACCATCTGAAAGATCTGTCCGAACATGGTGTCTGGGAATGGCAACTCGGCAATCATCAGAAGGGATTTCTCCGCATAGAAGAAGCAGCTGAGGTAACTCCATCAGCAGCAGCACAAACAAACAACAAGACTTTCAGGTTTGGGGTTTCTGTCAATTTCTTTGGGACAAACTTTGTCACGTAGCAGCTAAACATGATAAACACTTGTGACAAAACTTTTTTATAATTCTGGAGTGGTAACAAATCTGTCAGCAGTTCAATTTTGATCAGAAATAATAAAAAAGATTTATTTGGTTTTCTGAGTCCAGGCAAACACATAAATATGTAAATAACTTGACGCAAGTATGTTTAAAAAGGCTTTTACTCGAATGTTGGGGTGATAAATTGAAAAAGAAAATTTGAGGATTCAATTGTAGAGTTTGACTCCGACATATTTGTATTTAATATTCAACAAAGGCTTACCAATGATATACTTCTTTTCCCTGATCAAACCGTATATCTTTAGTTACATTCTCACACCATGAAAATGTTACTACACTTTACCAAATGGGAAGCTTATATTTTATTAGTTTTTGCGTATTCAGTAATATAATCGGTGGTGTACTTACGCGCTGCCCAGACCGGAGTAGACCCATTTTGTTCCACCGATGCCCTGGTACTCCGAGGCCACGTAGTAGAAGCAAGCGTTCAGGTGGAGCATAAAGAGGAGATACCCAATGGTACGAATCACTCTTAAAAGGAACAATAGCAACAGTTAAACGTTAAAAGTTTGTAGCTTGAAATTCACGGGACTTTTGTGGCACACCTTGACAGGTTTCTTTAAAAATGAGCTGCATCGGGAAAAAATCCTTAACCAGAGGCATAGCTTTCTGTGTGGATCCTCAATTCATTGTTTGAATCACTTAAAAGATGAACGTCATCATATGCTTCCCCTCCCCGCCATTTAATTTTATGGAACTCACCTCCAGATGTACGCCTTGGCCAAGATGCTCTCCAGACGGTCACTGAACTCGAAAAATGTATCTATCTGGAGAATAAGTACAGGAGGATGTCAGCGAGGAGGAAATGCACTTCACTGTCAGCACTTTACTAAACTCACCTTTAGTAAGCGGTTGACTCTGAAACCAGATTTGAATCCGAACTGCAGGTACAACAAGTCGAATGGCAGAAGAGAAACCACGTCTGCCTGTCGGCGGGAAACAAACGACATTTGAGGTCGAAGTAACTTTAACGAAGTTTACAGAGGCTCTAGAAAGCTTTCCACAATCCCGTCTTTCTGGGGATGCTAATGAGAGATATTTGGACACACAACTGCTCAATCAGGAAAGTCCCCCTTAGAGGTACTCTGAGGTTTCAGTTGAAGTGTACAATATGTCCCATTAAATATGGAAAAAGCTTTAAATGATTTCAGGGGTGTGTATTCTTCTAAGATCTCCTATGAGTTTAAATATGCGTGAATCTGAGTACCAGTAATCTCTCTGATTCCCTGTAGTGCTTCGTTGTCGAGGCACGGTCTTTCTAAAAGAGAGACAAAAAATTATTTGACCCATTATACTCTTAGCCACCTCCTCAGACAGTCTCTTGGCTCCACACTCACTATGATGTCTCCTCCTTTGACAAACTGCTTGCGAGGCTGAAAGAAGATGGCATCTAGTAGGTAAATGACGTCCGACAGGACGTCCATGGTGAACCAGATAGGGTTGACGAACTCGTTGTGGTACGGGAAACACATTCTGGCGGGGATGAACCACGTGTTGTAGTTGATGGCCACCGTGACCAGGCTCAGCCACGCGATGTAGCGACGATCCGTGAAGGGGTCGATGGTGGCACCCAGGACGGAATCCATCCGGTTCGCCAGCGGGTTCATCACAAAGTCCACCGACGCCCAGTAAGCTGCAGTCAACCTCGTCTTTAAGGGCACCTTCACTTTCTTCTCCTCTTCTTTCCTTTTCTCCTCCTCCTCTTTCTTCTTCTGCTCAGCTTCCTTCTTCTTCTTCTCCTGTTCTTCTTTCTTCTTCTTATCTGCCTCCTCCTTCTTTATCCTGTCCTCCTCTGCTTGCCTCGCCCTTTCCTCCATCACTCTGGCATATTCGTCTTTAAGCAGCAGTGGAGCTAAAATGATAACAGGTCAAGTGAGATGACCTAAGTTTTTCATTTTTGTCCTTACTTAGCAGGTAAGTGTTATCGATAATAACGTGTCAAGGCTGAGCACAGAGACGATGGATGCAGTTGTACTCACTGACAGGAGGGGTTATCTCAGGGGACGACGCGTACTGATCAATCACTTTCTCCTTGTATAATTTCAGTCTTTCTTTCATCCGTTGGGCTACGTTTCTGAGCTGCTCATCTGAATATTTGTTGATGACAATCGGCGGAGGAGGGGCCTCATCTTGTCTGGAGAAAAAAAACAACAACAAAAAAAAACAAAAAAAAAAAAAAAAAGACACCTGACAATGAAATTGGAAGTGAATGGAAGTTTAGAAGTTTCAATCAAACTTTTTGGTGAAAAATTGTGACCGCGTTTGTTGGATTAGATGAGAAATTAAAATAAAAATCATTGGGCGGTTAGCTTTGATGCCTCATAGGAAGAAGGTCCTTGAGTATGAATCGTTTCTTTCTTTCTGGATCTAATGGCTTCCTTACCCTAAAAACATGCATGTTGAGTCAAATGTTTAAATATTTGTTATTTGTATCTTTGCTGTGTTAGACTCCCAACCTATTCAGGGAATAACATACATAAGCAAAAGACAAATATTACTTGTTTAGTTATAGAGTTCATAGGTTATTCTTATTTATGAACTCTGCAGTAGCATTAATCTTAGACATTTGGTCAAAACTCAGCCCAAATCCATTACTGTGATCTTGTTTTGGTCAGTGAACCTCCACTTTTAAAAGTGAAGCTACTTAATTTAATTTAATTTAATTTAATTTAATTTAATTTTATTTAATTTAATTTAATTTGAATATGACAGCTGCTCCCTTTTGCAAAGTGCACTACAGGATTACACCAATAAAATAACAGTGAAATTAGCAAATACACAAAAATAAGCAAATCAATTATGAAAATGAACAACAAAAACAAGGCATTGTACAGTGAAAAGCACAACACAATATTATATAGTTTTAATATTTATATAAAATAATATGAATGAAGATACTACCAATGTAACTTTTCCCAATGGAATCAGAAAATGAGTGTTCAAATTCTGCCCTCTTGTGGATAGAATCAGTATTACACCAGACTGAAGACTTCACTTAGGTGTGCAAGGTTTTTTTTATATTCTTTAAGGAAAATCATTTTAAGATAAAATCTTTTCTTTATCACAGAGTAACATGATGATACTGACAAGTATCATCATAGTGAAAGGTATTTGATGTACACCTTGAGTTTTATTTATTTTTGCATCAATCTTCATAATTTATCCAGGGAGCCAATTATATTTTCACACAGGTCCAGGTCGGTTTAGATATTTCTTTTCCGTCCTCATATATCAAATTATTACATAAAACAGCCCTTTATATTTACTGAAATTATTATTTTTTTTTACTCTCTTCTTTCTTTTTTTTTGAAGGTCTAAAACTTTTCAGTGTCACACACAAAAAAAATAAATCTATAGGGAAGCAACTACTTTTTCACCGCAGTTTTCAGAAATGTAACCATCAGTACTGGAATGAACACAAACACGGGGCGTGACCCCAAAATAAAGTCAGACACGCATCACGGTTGATAGATCTTGAGATATTTCGGTCGGAATAATTATCAGCTCCTGCGGTGGCAGCAGCCCAGGTCACCTGCAGGTCACCTGAGTCCACGCCTCCATCACACAGCTCTCATTCTCTCCCTGCTGCCTCTTACATTCATCGTGTTTTGATTGCGAGACTGTCTCTGCAGCTGAGAAGATTAGCAGCTGCTGCTTCCCGTTAGCCACATGTCTTTCATGGCTGAGCCACACGCAGCTCTGATGAGCTTCTTATGCCTAAAGAGCTGAAAAGCCCATAATCCACTCTCAGGTCATTGCTCTGTTAATATACATGTTGAAACCAAGGGATAAAGATCTCAGATACTCTGTTTACCTCTCACAGCTTTCTTCGCCTCTCTCCACACAACTTATCGGGCTGCCTGATTAAATCGTGATTAATTAGATACTGGGTTGCTGTGTCTGCCTACGTAAAATGTGCTTTGACAAGCGTATACTAAATCTCCTCTGCTTAGTCGCTTCTTAGATTTAATGAATCTTCCCTGAAATGAATCATTTGAGTCCAGGTTGTTTAGTTTAGTTGCTGGGTGGGGGACTCACCCTTCAGGCCCCGGCTGCTCAGGGTCTGCAGGTGTGGCTGCTGGAGCCGGAGCTGGAGCTGAGGCTGGTGCTGGGGCCGGAGCTGAAGATGCAACAAGGAAAAAAAATATATAGCATTTTTCTAAATAAAATGCACTTATGGAAACATGCAACTTTTCTAATTCCTTTCATTTCACTATTAAATAATTTTTTTCTGTTTTTGCTTTGTGGTCACAACAAAAAATACAAAAAAATGATAATTTTAAAAGAGGACAAAAGAGAAGTACATAAAGGAGAAGGAGGAAAAGAAGAAGAAGTGTCTCAGACTGTGGAAATGGAGGTATAAGAGCAGGAGTAGATTCAAACAAAACAAGATTAACAACAATAATATTGTTATACTGTACAAGATTATAACATTAAAAAAATTAAGCAGTTATCAGAAATCACAATATTCTACTATATATTCCCAATATATTAATATTATATTAATATTCCCAAGGGATGTGCAGCTGAGTAGGATGACTTTTTTTTTTAAAATGTACATTTAAATAAATAGTAGAAATAGTTTTCAAACAGTGATTTAGTTTATTGAGTGAAAACAGCCATCCAAACTAACCTGGCCCTGCGTCAAATAATAAATGGCACTAAATTCTAAGCAATGCTTGAGTCATTCTTGGTGGTAACATAAATAACAATAATAAGTCTTTTGCATCACTGTAGGAGATTTTTTTTCCAGCCACATTGTAAAGCTTTTATTATTATTATTATTACTATTATTATTTAGCATGAACAGCTGACCCAAGGACTTGGCACTAAATCTTAGTCTGATTTAAAATGTATATGTTGATGTTAAAATATGTTGGATAGTCTGAAACATTTTAGTGTGACAAGGATGCAAAAGGGAAAAAAAAGCAAGGCTCATGCTCTTTCATAGCACAGTCAAACACAGACACTCACACCAAAGACTAATTTAGAGTTGAAAAAAATACATTTTATGTAGATTTTTTTTAAGCTTGTAGAAGGAAATTGGGAGTATCCAGCAAAAACCTGGGCATGTTTGGGCCGAATGCAGAATGCCCCCTAACATTTACTGGCCACCAGACCCACAGCAGAGCCGTCCGCCATCATGAAGTCTGAGGAAATGACTTTGTCCTTCAACCAGGTGCAGCCCTCTTCTGAGTGCTGCTCACAGGAAACCAATGAATTCACTCGTTTGTACAAATCATGAAATCCACAACTCGCTGTCTCGATATGAATTCACAGATATTTCTGCTACGATTTCCAAAACGACTCGTGGTTTGTCTTCGTTGACTGTTCAGGTTTTAAAGGATCTGTCTACTTCCTGCTGGCGGGTTGCGGCAGCCTCTCAGCCTCTCTGCACCGGCCGGTCTATTTTACACACCAGTGCATTCTCACGTTCCCGACACGGGCGCACAAAACATCAATGGCTGCCCTGTGTTTACGGTGGCACCTCTTTTATATCTCCCTGATGCTGTTATTGTCCCGGGCTACGTCTGCTGATTGCCTGCGGTGCACCGTGAAGCTCCAGCAGCAGAGCTTTGGATTTGTTCTACGTGTTTTTCTTTCTCGCGGGCGGTAAAAATTGTAGTGGAGCAACACCAGATGATGGAAAACACGGAGCGAGCAGCAGGGCTATTCGTTGCTCTGCCTCTCCTTTCTTCGACTCTCCCTCGTAGCCGGGGTCACAGAGATCCCCGCCGTTGCGTTGTTCGATGTGCAACACTGAACTGCAGCGCTCGGTTTGTTGTAGGAAATCATTTCTAAACTCGATCTGTGGTTGTACAGGGCTCACACTAGAGACAGGATTCACAGGGTGGACAAGCAAGAAAGAGAAGAAAATAACAGAAACCTGCTAGTGATGAGTTAAGCTGACAGAAAATAGATGATAAAGTTTTTGTTCTAAATGTAGAACCACAACTTGCCATCTTGAATTGGTTCCAATGATTTTGTTTTTCATGCTGTAGTTTGCACCTGGAGTATTGCAGACAGTAATACAGATTAATATCTGGATTTCTGGTAAACATAAGTAAAAAATCATGTTGTTTTTCTTTTTTAATGAGAATAATTATATCTTTCATGCATTTCAGTCAGATTCTTAACCTTGTTTGACTTTGACTCCTTAGGTGATTATAAATCAGAGCGAGAGAGAGAGAAAAAAGAAAAGTCACATGGCGTACCTCAAGGCTCCATTCTCGGGCCTTTTATTTTCTCTTGACGTTTATAGGTACAACCCTGATCTTTTAGAGTCCAAAGTACCACAATATCTTCTACAATATATGTGATGATAATATACATCCCTATAATTCTGTGTTGCCACTTGAACAAATGAGTCAGAATTTCCACAAACTCAATGCAGAAGAGACATGTGCAAAGTTAGCAATCTGAATTTAACTAAGCAAAAAAACACCGAGGCGTCATCATGAACCCAGATCTAAATTTAATCCAGTTTGGGTCATCAGGCCACTAACTGAACTGGATGTATTGTTACAACCCCCAGTTTCAGGACACAGTAGAGTCACAAGCTTACCCTGCGGTTGCTCCTCTTTCTTCGCTTCATTTTCTTTCTCGTTCGGCTTCTCCTCCTGCATGACAAATCATCATTTTCCACAGATTCAGGTGCTTGGTTTTACTAGTCAAACAGTTGGCATCAGATAAACATTTGGTATTATTATTTAAAACTCAAAGTACTCAGATTAGCAAATTATTCTATTGGCTGGAAGTCAATAAAAAAAGAACATGTCTTCAGGTTGAACTTGTTGGCTTTGACTAAATTAAAAATCTAATGTAGAATAATCTGAAATATTTGAGCGCACCAATGGAAGAGAGGATAGAAAGTCAAAGTTACAAGTTTGGAAAAACATTAAACGGATCCGCATGATGTGCAGGACGGGACACTCGTTTCTCTTAATGTTTCGCTAACTCAGACGGCACTTCTAGTATTTCATGCTGCGTAGAAGCCTGGAAGCTAATCCGAGTATAAAAACATTTCTTGTATCGTATAAAGCAGAGACTTTAAAGACAGATTTACAAGGTATCTTACCTTAGCTGGTGCTGGAGCAGGTGGAGGTGCTGGAGCAGGTGGAGGTGCTGGAGCAGGTGGAGGGGCTGGTGATGCCTTAGTGGTCCCAGTATCAGCTGGAACCTGCGGGCCTGAGAAGAGGCCCTTAAACTTGGCAAACATATCTTTGAAGATGCGGATATCGGCGCATTTGTTGGACTGCGCTCCCCTTCGCTGATGCCTGTGGAGCTAACCGATCCCCTCTGGTCGCCGTCTTCTGCAGAGCGACGTATCCTCATGAACTGAGCTGGCCCTGATGGTATTACCTCTTTTAGCCCCACTAATGCTCTCACACAGAGAATAGTCCGCGCCATCGCCACTGACATGTAAACCCATCGCTATCTCATTTGGGATGCAAATAGGCTTATGGGTGACCACTAAAACAGGGAGGACAGCAGCAGCAGAGCTGGGAAAAGTAAGGGCACCCTCTTTAGAGTGGTACGATTTCAAACCCGTTGATGGGAGGATGAATGGAGCTAAAATCCTGGAAGAAAACCTGTTGGGGGTTTGATGAAGTCTTGAATCTGGAGGTTCACATTCAAGGAAGACCAAGACCATGAAATGGACAATGAAATGAGTTCATATGTCATTTCACAGATTTAGGAGCGCTCGGCAACAAGAAGTAGCTTGTTAAAACACTTCGCCACAACGTCCATCTCTACTGTGTTTTGTTGCTGGATATGTTTCCTGTTTTTTTTTTTTTTTCTAAAAAGTTTAGCTTTTTGCATGTTTGCTTCAGCACCATTTCATCTGAGATTTTATTTTCTAATTTAATTTAATTTAATTTAATTTTCATTGTTGATGTAAATTACTTTGGCTGGTTTATTTCTTTGTTTCAAGAGAGCCGAGTCTCGACTCTTTGTGCAACATCCGTTGAGTTTCGTGAAGGACCAGAGTTTTCTGGGGCAGAAGAAGAGAGGAATACGAGGACCAAGAAGCAGAACATTTGTTTCTTTACCTTCGTGTTGTCAACCATATCATAGAAAATAGTCATTAGGTCATCTTGCATTGCCTTGAATAATCTAATTAAAGCCTTGGTGTGGGGTTAAGCCTTTGACACGCCGGTGGTAGAAGCTCCAGGTTCATGTCGGTCGCCTGCTGACAACTTTTCAGTCTCTGAATCACAACATGCTAACCAAAGGACCGATTATTTCTTAGATTGTTAACGAGGACAGAGCAACACATTTTTTAGCAAAACAGACTAACTTTTTTGATTTTCCTGTTCGAAATAGAATTAAAATGCATTCAGACAACACATAGATAAAAACAGGTTCTGGTTGCAGAAAAAAGATCCGAAAAGGTCAAGAAATGATGTCCTCTCTCAATCTCAGTCCAGATTGTCAGATTACAAACAGTAGCTAGCAGATTCCTTTTGCACAGTGGACACAATGTACCTTTACTCTACCTACGTGGTCATATAATTTAATGTAGAAAGATGTACTTTCACTAAATATAGGAATGGTTCCTATGTCCAAAAATTTGGATCTTCATATATGACAAAGTCAAAGTAAAATATGTATAAACCTTTCCTATATTGATTTAGATTTCGTATGTGAAATCTTAGGTTTATCACATATCAGCTATTCCGAATAAATATATGTGAATGACATGATTAACATTTATGCCAAAGTTTTTTTTTTAATGAATTTTGTTTTATCCACATATTTGTCTTAGAATATTTTAATTACACTGCTTTATTAAAAATCAAAAAGGGACTTTAAAATTCGCAGTAATGTCAAATTATTAATCATTGACTCTATTGTGCGCATACGGTTTACCTGAATTTTGACACTTTAAAAAATGCCAGTATGATACACAGAAATGCTAATAGATCCAATTGGTTCTAGTTTAGTGTGGCGTGTTGTAGTTTTCTGAGCCGCCACACGAGGGCAGTAAATCCTTATAAATTACACCTCTCCTCTTCCTTCCTGCAGCAGATCGTGAAACCGATTTCAGCAGAACCAGCCAGATGTCATTGAGTATTTCTCCGAGCTCAGTGAGAGACTCCAACCAGCATGACTTATGAGCATTTTAAAGACACCAACATCTGGTGTCACGTCAAAACTCGTCCCAGGGAAACAGAAAGAAACTTAAATTGTTTAATCCCAAAAGCCACAGGACGGGTATTTATCATCTGAGAGTTTTCCTGGCAACCAGATATGGTTGATAAATGACTATCAAAAGGTTGCTGTGGTTTTTCAGACGAGAACATTAAACAGCAGTTAGCTAAAACACACTTTTTCTCGTGATGTCACCCGTCCCTAATAGCGGATTCAGCTTGAATGGCATTAAAAATGCCATTACTCACATCAATACATTTGATTCACATATTGGTCTGGGGTTAAAAAAAAAAACTACAACTCATACATCAGGAGAACGAGAAGCAACCCCTTTAATCGACATCCCATCTGTGAACATGTGTTTCAGCTGTTAGCTAAAGGAGGATAAAATGAAGTAACACCCCAGGCTGCAGCTGCGATGCATTTATTTCTCTGGCGTCGTTTCTGTCTCTCCAGCTGCAGCGTGCCGGTTTATTGGCTCCCCCTGCTGAAGCGGTGTTTTCTTTGGGTGCGTGTGCGCCGCGGCGATGACGGCAACCCTCGGCGTGGACTCTAGAGTTGTGAGTTTCGGCGCGGTAGTAACACAGCAAGCGAGGTGTGTCACTGAGAGGGGCCAGAGGGTTTTTGTGTCTGGTCCTGACAAAGGACAAACCAAACTCAATGCTATGCTAGATACTAGTCTGAAAATTAATAGGATTTTCACACTCTTGTGCTGAATGCTCACCTAAACATGCTGTTTGACAATTGATTTACCAATGCAAACTAAAGCCCCAAATCAACTTGTTTTTAGCAGATAAACCTATATTTGTGTGTGTTTCTCCATTCCTTCATCAGCATTCAGTTTTTTTTTTATTATTTGTTTTAGGACTGTGGATGGAAACATTAATGAAAGAAGGTTACTTTTGTATTTCCGTGTTGATTTCGCCAAACATTTTTGGTCATTTTCCCGTAGAACGACGTCATTCTACACCCAATCATTCATCCTTTGTTTTACGCCGGTTCCACCTGCGGCGTCTGTGGCCGAGAAGCTCAACCTGAGTCTCGTCAGACCAAATTACATGGTTCTAGTTAAAAGCCCCGTAGAGTTTGGTAAACTCCGCATGCTCACATTTATGTTTAGAAAGAGAGGGATTTTCTGGCGTGGCTCCTCAACAACGGTTGTTGTGGAGACTAGGTGACTCAAAAGGTGACGATAAATATATTCGCGAGGCACTACAAACCCAATTTATGTCCGTGAGATTTATTTTGTGCATGTAAACGGCAGCAGTCACCTCGTCTTTCCACGTCTAAACTCAATCTCTTCTAAGCTGGCAGGGATTTCGAGTGCTTTGTGCCTTCTTTGCTTTCAGGTAATGAGTTTTTCTACATCTGGTCAGATGTTGATGCTTCTTGAACTGGTAATAGATGGATCCTATTCAGAGGGGAACAGGAAACAAGAAAGTCAAATGCGGAATTGCTCCTGTACAGAAGAAATTCAAATAGAGGATGCTTAGTTTCGAGAAAGAATTTAGGAGAAAGTGAAAGGAAGATGGAATGCTTGGAAAGAAAGATGGCAGGAACAACAAAAGAGGGACCTGAAGGGATAGAGAAATTGGAGGAAAGATGGAACATGAAAGAAAATAATAGATTCACATCAGAAGCAGGAATTGAAGAGACGAGGCCGGTCAAATTGATCAGCGCTGTCTGAGAAATGACAAGTCGATGCTCTCCCTTAGACACAGTGATCATTTCTCATGAATGTTAACAGCCCCATTCCTCTTTTTCTTTTTTTACTCCTTGCCATCTGACACACCCCTTGGCACCAATCAAATCTTACACGACAAAGCTGTCAGCCAACATTAGGCCACAGGTCTTTCCTCTGTAACACCCGGAGCCTGACAAAGGTCAATTGTTGCTGAAAAATATGACTCTGTGGGTCAACACTTCCTGCATGAGTCACACAGACACACACACTCACACACATCTGATTGAATGTAACTTGGAGTCAGAAAACTGAAGACACAAGAAGATATTTGAACAAGATTATAAAAGTCTCCAAATAGACTTAAAATCAAATTACCTGTTTGCTTTTTTTATTTTATTTTTTTATTTTATATGTGTGGAAACTGTTTCCTTGGAAGCAGCAGATGAACTTCCTGGAAACATGTTTTCATCGTGTGGTTGCCAAGCGACCTCTAGGAAATCCCTGCTATTGTTTGCCAAGAACTGCTGAAACAAATCGTGCACAGCAGCTTGTTAAAAATCTAACTCAGGATGATTTCGTTTGAGAATTTTCAGATTTCCTTTTCTTTTCCGTGGCTCTAATGCAACATTTTCAATCCATCAACATAGCAACCAATCATCCCAGTTGCTCTCATTTACAAGGACCTAAATTGGACAGGAGGTAGCTTATTAGCATGAGTGGTACTGGCTATTTTCCTACCTCTCCCATTACAATCAGGCACATTGATAATTTTAGCCAGACTGCATTTTATTCACCCTGTTAGCTTACAAATAGTACAAAATAGTCCCATCCGCAGAAGCAGGGGGCTCATTCCCAATGAAAATAATAAGTTGCATAAAGAGAAACTGATTTTCAGCCTCTTGAACTAAATAACTCGCATCCGGTTATGATGTAAGGTATAATTTGGTTGAAAGTTGATTTCTTTTCCCCGTTTTGAAATGTTTATCCAGCTGCTTGGTTTTTAAAGTATCTCAGCCACTGGCAGCAAGTCTCTGAGCAAATAAAGATGCATCTTAATTAGGCTGAATATTGATGATTTAATCTGTAATTCAATTCGAACGGTAAAACCCGGGTAGGCTCACCACACACAGCTCAGTACATGTACGGCTTCGACTACGACTGCTAATGAATATTCAAAAATTCAACATTTCTTTCAAGTAGCCAAATTGATTTGCGAAACAGTGATGTCGCATCGGGGACGACGCAATCACCGGGAAGATTGCTGACCTGACAGTTGCTATTTCCTCCCACAGAGAGGCGAAGCCACAAAAGGTCATTGCTAAAGAAGTTTGGCTGCAGTCAGGGGACTGTATCCAAGCACAAGTGATGAAAAATAGAGTGGAAGAAAAATGTGGAACCTCAGCATGTCCGCGCTCGGCTAAATGTTTACCAGCGACCTATCCTGTCAGGGCCTTCCAAGAAACAAAGAACCTACAAATCCCCAAAGGTGTGGTTCTGTACAAAAAACCCTTTTGAATTTGCTTCTGTTTGAGTTTTTTCTGAATGCCAACAAGGACAATAGTAGGTAATATTGTAAAGGACTTCAATACTTGGCATTGTGTTATAATTGAAGTGGCAATTCCTGTCTCTAATGGTCGTTTCTCTTGGCCCAAATAGAACCATGGCTCTCTGGGTTAATGCAAAGACGCCCAACTCGAGTTTGAAGCCAGCCCGGACAAAAAGTCTCTACGTTTGTCTGATCAACCTGAAAAGTAAAGCAAGGTTATGTTAAAGAGTTTCACCAGAGTCTTTGCATTGTTTCTATAAAATTCCCACACCCATCTCAAACACACACACACACGCACACACACCTGGGAGAACAAGAGGAGGAAGGTGAAGGTTAATGAAAGGTGTGCCTTTACTCTTGCCTGGTGCCACCCTTCACAGATGGAGACACTGATAATATCCACACTCCCCACCCCCTTAGCGTCTCCAGGTC